ACCTTGTGGAACGAAGTTCCAGCCAGTGTAGCCCGCGGGATCGTTGCAGCACTCAAGCCCGACCACCACGTCAAGGTGGCAGCTTTAGGTCGGGAGATGCTGCATCAGAATGCCTTTATCCTCTGGTACATTATCTCCCAATATACTCGCTGAAGCCATGATAAGTCGATATATCAAAACTTGTTCTGATCCTTTCCAGACCCTAAATGCTGAACTACGAAACGGTCTTTGAACAAGCAATCCAAGGAGCACTGGAACACCTCTGCCAATAAACACTCTTTTGTCCCGTATCTGGCTCGACTCCAGGTTTCACCGCATTTTAGATGTGAGATTTTGAGGACGCTATGTATGAGTGCCAATGCGGTAAAACTCTTGAGCGGTTCTGGTTTTTTAGTAAAACTCTGAAATGACCATATGAAAACCTGACAGCAATGACGAACAAAGATACCTATTGTCATCTCTCGCTGCTGTGTTGTACGGGATAACTGATAAGAATGAATACGACGTCTGCCAACAGTGTGATTACCCCTGTGTTTAACAAGCCAGACTGTTAATGGATTGACTGTCGCAGGGGTTGCACAAAAATCTGTCGTTCACGTGCCATTCTGGAGCAACGAAAAATTTCACCTAATTTTGATAATTTGTTGTTGGATTGGAATTGAAGCTGGTGACAGAATACGTGTGCCGAGGAGTACACTAATTCAACAAGTCTAACTTTTGGACTCGCAACTGTGACATTTGTCCAGAATGCTGAGTAGGTAGTTGACTGAATACGCACGTGTGTGTGGACTGTATGTAATCTTTGACCGTTTATCCCCAACCTTTCTTTTCATACCGGATTTCGGGCCCCGACTGACTGATTACCGAAGTGTTCATCTTAACCATCCCTTTCTATTGTTTCCTACTTCCCAGACGACTGTTTTGATCACCGTGTAATTACCGCTTCTTATTTAAGTTCTTTTGTCTTTTTTTGAGCGTTATGACAAGTTACAGTCGTCTGACTCCGGCTCCGTGTCGCCAACAATTTCGCGATTAGAACGAAGTCCGTCAGAATTGTTCTTGATTAGTGTCTCAATTTAGTCTCATTTTTCCAATCTCAGTAAACTTTAATATCTGGAGCGGTTTACTCATATTTCCTTGTTGACTGAACAAAACAGCTAGTGTACTAACTCCGGCGTCTCCAAAGTGCCCCATTACCTCGTTCTGACTACATTGTTAGAAACAATCTCTGCACTATCACAACCGACAAGGAGTCGGGTATCTTCACTAGCTACAAAGTCAGTCGGCTGCCCAGTCAACTTGCTTAATTCGATTCTTCCGGCATTTTGCAAAAGTATTCAGCCGAAACTTCTGCTGTTCATTTAGTGCCTCCGACCATGACCTAATCGAAACATGGAATAAGTCCATCACGAGAAGGTGGAAGCGTCCGTCCAACTTCTGAAATTAGACTTTCTTATTGTCATATCAACCTCCATCCTAGTCTACCCAGCGGTTCCAAACCGTTTTCCACTTTTAGTCCAATGCCGCCCATCACTAGCTTTCACTCCTGAACACATAGACCTTCTGACTTAATCATCATCATCATCGACAGCAATAAAACAGTAACACACAATGCTGATTGACTGCAGAAAGAAAAGGGAAGAGTAGGGATTTATGGGAAGAAACCCCTACGTCCTTAAGCAGGATGGTCAAAATCAAGGTGCTTACAGCTTTGGACTGCATTAAAATAAACATATTTGGGAATCGTATAGAACTAAGACGCTATCGGCACACTCAATCCAGCATCATTTGCAGACATCACATAAGTCCAGCGCACGACAGAACCTTAGCTAGGCAGTGCGGCTTAGAAATGACGGCATGCGTGTCACTGGGATCGGTTGTGTGCCATGTCCCGCGGGGTTTCCAACGACCTGCAAGCAAGATCAGGTGTGCCCCAGCCAAGGTGTGAAGATCCCACAGCAGTCCGACCAGAGACGCTGTAAGACTTCAGTGTCATTCCTGATGCCATATTACCCGCTTAAATAGTGGTAGGGTCCCGTCTCTACCACACTGTTCTTCGCTCTACAAAAGGGATTCGTTCAAGCGAAAAATGGTTATGCGGTAGACCCGTAGGAATTTCAAACCTTGCCTTGCCGTGGGTGTTTCAGTACGGTCTGGTCAAAATTACGTTACACGAAACATCTAGCAGTTTACCACGTATTGTTCAACCCGCCCCATGGTTAAACCATCAGAACAGAAAAGCTGCAAGCTGCACCAGAGACAGGCAGCGCGAAAGTGTATTGAAAGATGACGCGGCACGAAAATAGAGGGAAAATAACAAATATCAGAGAAAATCTCCAGCCATTGAGAATAGGCAAAATTGTGAAATTCCCAGTCTCAGAGAAGAATGACGATCGTTCGGATTCAGCACAATATGTAGCGTAGTTGGGCGGTGTTGAGCCTCCTTTTCCAAAGAAAACGGAAATTGTGAATAAGACATTCGCTCCAGGGTGCAAGGGGAAAAGGGCATCTGTGTTGAATGGTACATAGATGAAAAAAGTAAAACTAAGGCGTTCAGAAAGATTTCCATCTCAGAGGGGCGGATGAAAATGGCGACTGGGTGAGTGAGAGTGAGCAGGTGTAAACCGAGAACTCCCAGAAAGTTCAGGTTCGAATCTGAATGATAGTGGTAACACGAAAGAACTTGAGTAGACAAGTGGATGGGAACAAATGACAGACAGGCAGAGTTGTCCGGAAGAGTACCGGTCAGTTGAATAAAAATGACACTACAGCGTCATCGGTAGAATCCACGGTTGGGATGTTCTACGTGTATACGAGAATATACTTCCATGTCCATATGGAATGAAGTTAACCGAAAAGTCGGGCGTGTAGCCATGTGGTCGTGCTAAAGATGGAGAGGAATCCCGTTTGGGAAGCACTTTTTTGAATCCAAAGCAAATAATACAAAAGACAAATTCTTAACATTAACCTGGCCACAAAAACAAAACTTCTGTGGTCAAGTCGCGTTGCTATCAATAAACTGTGGAAGAAATTCGCTCAGTTGCTTCTGACCAGCGGCAACGTCCACGGACCGGAGGAAATCACTTTCCAACAGCTGTACGTAGTCGGCGCGGTCAGATTCCTTTTTCATAAGACAACGGCTGATAAAATCTTGTAAAGCTTCGGAGAATCTACCATCTGTTGGGAGACGAAGTGGGTCTCCTTTGACAACCTGATAGAGGGTTTCAAGAGGGGAAAAATAGAGAAAAAAAACTATTAACATTGGGAATGAGTTGATGAGGATATGAACAAAACAGGCGACAGCAGATTAAGCTCACAGAACCGTGACGACTAATGAGTGATGGTCGTTCAGCTGCAACTCTCTTTCGGGGCCTGGCTGCCATGCCACCCAAAGGAAATAGCGGTTTAGTACATCTCGGCACTCATTACTACCCACTAGTCAGGTCAGGTCAGCAACTGGTTAGAAGCTAGATATTGGACAAAAGCCCAATAGTAGCAATGTCTCATGCTTACGAAGTGAGATCAACGCACAAAATTGTTTCAATTTTTACTACTTCCCAGGGGACGTGTAGGTTTGAACTCAATCAAAGATATTCGCAACATAACTTGACAGATAGTCATAAGCGTTGGATAATCCAGATAGCACGAAGTGGTTTTATTCGGCTTTTCACTGATTACTAACTACTCATTAGTAGATGAATCATACTGATATTTTTGACGGGCAATAGGCAAGCAAAGTGTGACTGCTTGGGTGACGCTCCACGGAAGAGTGAAAACCTCAGCAGACGACATGTCATGCCAAAAGTTTGATTTTTCACGCAATCTACGTCTCCTGAATTAGGAACACAATGCGCGCCGGACGATATGCGCTTCTCACGAGCTTCGAATTTCAGGTATCGCAATTCGTTTGAGGATTTGGTTCTTTACGAACCTTCGTGGTTAAGCGCGAAAAAGTTGCATTTTAAGAGTTTTGCTCGGTTACATAAGAACGCAACTTTAGAGGGAAGCATGCCTGAGTGGAAATTCTTCTTGTACAGAACGTGACGTGTCGTGTGAAGCCATTAATCCGTACTACACAGCACAAACAAATGACCTCTGCTGAGCAACAGAAATCAATTGGCCAGGTAGCCTATGCGATCTTACTCGGAATACAGTTGCAGAATAGGCTAAAGTGACCACCACTGTCGTCTCACTGCTGCAGACAGTTACTTCATTAAGGATTACAATGATCACCCTTCTCATCACCGCACAATTCGCATGTGTATCAGGAAAACTGCCCGTTGGAACGGTACGAAAGAGTCCACGACGAAGACCATGAGATTCACAGTCAGGATGACTATCTCAGTGTAGACATGCCTTCTGATGGTGTAGCAACGCCAGACAACTACAGTTAAGCTATTTGATCAGAGGAGCAGGCAGTACGGTTCTGGAGAGGAAAAAGAAAACCGATCGCTCACTGTGGTTCCAACACATACGGCATGCAGATTGCAGACCACATGTTCCGGGTGCTCCCGTGTCCTTGTACCAAAAGACGACCGTCAGTTGTGGTCCAAGAAGAATCTGTACTTTGCTAGACTAGAGGGCCGGAAAAGTTATACATTCTGCCTTGCTGACACCCCACAAAAATGAGACAACCACGGAAGGCTGCTGAAGGTAGTAAAAATGACTACTTTGCCAGAGGGTAGTAAAAGCATTAACCGCTAATCTTTTCAGTGAATGCAAGCACAATGAAACGTTAGCTATGTTCACACTTTGTCATTAATTGTCCCCTACTTATGAAGGACAAACAGTGGTCAACAAATATTTGAAGGTAATAACCTAAACTTAGTCCAAGCAATGGTATGCCACGTGAAAGTATCTATCGTATGATTTCACAATCTGTTGAAATCATTGCCCTGTGACGATTCGTTCCGGAAAAGTGTGCTTGGTGTCCACGCGATGCATCCTTTTATTCCTACTTTTGGTGTTAATGTGAGCGAGAAAGTATGACGAAACTTTCCACATCTATTTCGAATTTCCTGCGAACGTTTACAAAGGATCTGAGGATGTGCCTGACCGAGGTTTATAGAGAGATTCGGACACAGATCTAGAGAACCTGATCAGTACCACGTTTGTCTTTTCTAAACGTCTAATAAAGCAGGAAATTTCAAAGCTAACCCCAAACATCAGAACAGATTTCTTCGTCCTCTCACTTATTTACATTTCATACCACATATTTCTCAGCTTAAGTTTTTCATCTCACAAACCGCACACTGAAGTGCAGTGGTTCCACCTACTACAGTTTCGCTCACCAAGGCTGAGCAAAAGAAGCTCTATGAGACAAACGGCCCTCTGGCATACAAAGTAACAACATAAAAAAACGTAACCTGTGGAGTGAACAGCTGGACTACCAGGGTATAAAGAACTTTCCGAAAACTATTTGGGGTAGCTAAGCATTAATGACCTGATGTCCCCATCAGACCTGCGCAATGCTTCGCAGACACCGATGATTGTACATAGACACATACATATTAGCAAGTTATTTTTATATTTTGTTATTCATACGATTAACATACCATACAATACGACATGTATGGACAGCACACTGATATGCCATCACATCAAAATACGTTGCATCATTATTCGCCAGTCTAAACTGGAGAAGTGTGAGGCGGTGCGGTGTGGAGACAGTAAGATCGGAAGGAAATGAGGGGTAAACATTGGAAAGTTGTGTTAATGATAGCCGAAAACCACATTCGCTAAACTCAATTCCTCAGCAGGAAACCTCCATTCGCTGAACCGTACACTGACAGAGTTACGCGACCACTGAAGCACAACAAACCCAAAACAGATAACCGAGTGGCGAAAGGAGGAAAGCCGGCCGCCGCGGAGTTGCTCATTAGAAATACCAATTAAACAGTTACACACTACTGAACAAGAAAGTAAACTTCTCATATGCACCTTGTTTTTAAAAACCGGATGTCCGTCTTTTTCTCGAACTTTCCTGAATATTCATTGACTGTCACACAATTGTAAACGAATACCGCAAAGCAGTTCCAAAAACTCCGTAATAAACCCCACCTTCGATTGAAAGCGAGGAAGAGTTATGAGAAAACCACACACTACTCGCGTGCCTCATCAGTAGTATCCGCCATCCAATCGGAAGTTAGCCTGGCTGTTGGTCTTTTCGTTTGCCTAAGTCAACTTACGCGGAAAAACCAAGAAACACTACCTTCGTCCTCGTCCAGGAGACCAGTTGGATGCACATCAAAATGTGGTGTGGGATACTAATTTCCAACTCATGGGTGTTTGATCTCAAGACGGACACCGAACTGCTCAGATTTTCGACGTGTGTTGAACCAGTTTCAGTATATCCCGGTGTTCCTCATCAAGGAGTACTAATCGTGGATTGAAAAATCCCACTGATACTCAGAAGATGTCGGCAAAGAACGGAAAGTGTTGGCTGAATAGCGGCACGTCCACGATTGATGATAAGTCACGCTATATATAGCATGAATGCAAGTTAAACACGTACACGGTTCTTGCGTCTTGAAGGGAAACTGTTCGATATACATGGAAGAGGATTTGATTTCGGAATCCCATCAAATTATTCCTCCCTCCAAATAGTGGATATCGCGAGGCTTTGAGGAAGTTTTTCAAGAGATTCCGCATTAAATTTTGGTAGAACGAGAACGCCATTGTGAACTTTTCAGGGGAGTTGGTCAGATTAGTGTAATCATTGGCCATGTGATACTCACATTTGTTTCCTACTAAAAAACATTGATTGTTGGTTGTCCAATAAAGCCTATTTCACGAGCACGGGAGAAACTGGGTGGCCGGAAACGAATGCCTTTGACCTAGGTTTGCCTCCCAATCGCATGTACTTAAGAAAATGCTAGGAATTTGTTTGCTTATTTGAAGCAACCTGTGACGACTGTTACATGTTGGAGTGGTTGCAGGCTGGCTGACTGGAATTTCTTGTATATCCCTCCGGTCATTACCTACCAGCAAGTTTCTAATTATAATGGGTATTTCGTCTGTGAGTGAAACCAATGTATGCTGAATAAATGGGAAGCATGGTTGCTAGCTAGGTAGGAAGTCGCCGGTTCGAGACTCTGGAGTTTCATCAGACGCGCACTGTTGATAGTTCCCAACAAGGATGAAACAGCTGCAGTGCTCTTCGGCTTTTCAGCGTAGATTGGACAAGATCTCCAGCAAACCTCACAAATCTCCCCACAGTATCAACGATTCTAATCATAAAAAGAACGCTGCTCTGGCGCAACTTTTCAAACTCTCTCCCGACACTAGTAGACACGAAAACCTCACAGTGGACTGTTGTTTTAGTAGCAATGGGACTGTTTCTCTACCACAGTGCTACATTAAGGTTTGTACTTTGTGCAACGGACAACCAGACAATGATAACCATTTGCGAACTGATGGAAGCTCGTTCAGAGGCTTGGTTGACCCATTCGCATGTGATAAGGACTTATTATAGGAAAAAGTTCGACTGTTTTTGTCCCGCAGGTTGATCGGAAAATGAATTTCACCAAAGTACAACAATAGCTGAAAACTCTTCAAGAAGGCGGAGATTGAAATGTGCGTTTTTCAGGTTGTGGCTCACATGGAAAAAGTTATTGGATCGAGGAAATACAGAGGGATCGCGATATTAACGAACGCACAGTGCAGTTTCTGCTAGGGACAACACAGAACTTCTATCCTGCTTCTAATAGGCCCACCCTTTATCTCCGAACACTTGGGAAACCAGAAAGCATAATAAAAAGCGTATCAGAATGATTGCAGAATTTATTTGGATCATCGCTAAGCCCAATATGGTTGGTTAGTTTAACTACTTCTAAGAGACATAACAGAAACTGGTATCAAGAGGGTAATCATTGTTTTATCGGGCCGCCATTGCCAGACCATTCATCACACCACATCTTATAAGGTTTGGAGTACCTTATGCACCTCACACCTACAGAAACACCACTCCTGATTTCCACTCACAGCTTGGTATTGCGATAGTAACAACAATCACATGATGCATCCGGGACCAGGTAACAGGTGTATGGTGCAATCCGAGCACGATTCACGTGGTTGTCTAATGGAACCTGACAGCCCACTCATGGCATTATCATTTGAGGCAAGTTGAATTCGTCGGCCTACGAAACAGCAAACGGGAGGACTAAATAACGCGGTATTGCATCATAGCGAAGTGAACACTATCCGATTTTAGGATTTAGATGGTTAGTTTGCAGTGTGGCCTAAGAACGATCGGGAGGTTTGAAAGAAAACGTATTGTTCAAACCGATGAAGTGCCTTTACCTAAATTCGTTTTGGCGAGACTTAGTAATGCCCCGCTCGTTGTAGACAGTGGAACGAGAAACTCGTTGATCCAGTAATTGTTTATAGCTTAGATCACGTGGGATTTGTATTTTACAACACGGTGGATCAAGCGTCATACACATATCTAAGAAGCAGCTGATCTATCTTAGATGTGTTCAACACGTACAAAGTTATAGACATTTATCCAAAACAGTCTTCAGCATTCTGCGGTGCAGTTATAGGCGGAATCCAAGGTTGCTCAGAAAAGACTCGAGCGGTGCGTACAACTGATATAAGTTGGAAGGCGTTGCTAGTCGACCTCTGTTTGTATCCCATCTGGAAACCAGATTAGAGCAGCTGATCCTCACTGTTCTTTGTCAAGCCACACACAGTCCTTCATTTCCAGACAGTGCGCAGCACACAATCGTGTTCACTACCGTGAAAAGTAAAGCACCAGTGATAAATGCAAACAACCAAGTGCCACACAAACATGCAAAGGCGGTCCAAGAAGAGAGGCGGAAGAGAATGGGTAGAAACCTAGAGCATTTGGACTTTGATTTACGTGATCAAAACCGGGCAACTCGTTGAAGCGGCTGAAGTTGTACGGTTGTGAATCAATTAAACTAGCCTGTTTTGAAGCAAATCGCACAGCAAGTAATATTATGATGATGGCTAATTACTGTTTTCACACGCCCATTGGTAGTGAAACTACGCGTCAAAAACCCAGGATCGTGTGGACCTTCCGCTAAAGTTATTCAGATTGATGATAGCTTGAGCACTGTGCTGCTCGATAAGGTGAAGGAGAAAAATGGAACAGCAACACGGCAGAATGCTTCCCAGTTTCTGATTAATACCAGCTCGGGTTCATTCAAAACGTTTAGAAGCATGTGGATGGACAAAGCAAGAAGTGGTGCAAAGAGTTTAGTGGGAAGAGAAAAATAAACCACAGAATGCTCGTGCAAACGAACCCGATCCAGTTGCTGGAACAAGCTATTCGTGTCCGCATAACACAGCTCTCCAGTGGCCAGTTCCATTACACTCAGGCCTAGGGACCAAACATCTGATAGAATGCTGAAAGCCTGGTCAGTCTGAGGATTGATCCTTTCCGGAGCCAAGTATCGATTGCTGCCCACATTACTCAACGCGAATGACTTCATGAGCTTACCGGAGACACCAAAGTCACAGACCTATTAGAAAAGCATTGAAGCGGAGAGTGGACAAGTGTTTATAGGATATGCGTGAAAACTATCGTTAGTAAAACAGGAACCAACAGTAAAACAGTATTTTCTACCGTGATGAAAAAGCTATTGTAGTAAACTGCGTTAGGATGTTAGAAAACGGATGAGAGCCGAGAATACTGATAAAACAACAACGAAAGATTTTTGAGGTTGCCTCAGGATGAGCTGTGCTTGTCAAATCAGACCCACTGAAACTATTCGGAAAATCAGGGCTCAGCGGCAGTAAGCACATGGATAGGAAGGTGTAGGGGAGTATAATGGCACAAGCAATGTACCACGTTTTGTGTTTGAATGACGTACAAATCCGTTCCATCGAGGACTGAGGGTCTGAACTGTACAGCCGATTTGCACAAAACATGATGAGCTGTTTTGCTCTGGTTGCAGCCTTATTAGTAGATCCAACTGGTTGCTTGCGGCAGGATTCAAACTATATGACGAACTAGAGTTTGGGCTAAAATCGGAAACTATGCCTGGTTGGAGGTGAACCAGTATGAAAACACGAGTATTCACCGTTAAAGGAAAACTACCGGCTAATGGTGTGTGCAGGAATAACGAACGTGGTTACACTTTCTGAGTACTCAAAGCTAAGGAAGATTGGCATAACAAACGTAAACGCGTAACGAGAGCAAAACAAACTTACTGAGTGCCTAAAATAATTCAGAACAATTAGAAAGTAGAAATTGAGGACAGTGGTTACCCAGGCTGTGCATAGTTGGTCATCGACTTGATCTTTGAGTTGGGCAGTTAGATTGCAGACGTTTCATCACCAGTCGAAGAGACACCATCAGTGTGGTGTCACATCAGTGTCTGTCACGAAGAGACTGGACCTTACCGTGGTGTGACGGTTTGCGCACCTCAGCGATCCATTGAGCTAT